GTAACCCAATCACAAAAAGACAAACATGATATGTACTCACTCATATGTGGACCTGCTTTACAATACATAGTAGTGACCATGCTTTTATCAGAGCTGTTTTTAATGATGTTGCTCAGAATGGTTTCCTCCCAGACGATGATTGAGAAGCTAACTTAAAAAAAAAAAAATGGTGCCAAGTACCACAAGAGTAACAGAACTGTGCAAAATAAAAAAATAGATACAAAACTTTGGACTGACCAAGATAAGATAAATAATAGAGTATTTTCTTTAAATTTGCCAAATACAACTGGACTGGACATTGTGAATGTAATTCTTATCTGATAATTGTTCTTATTGTTTATAGGTTTAGTACATTGAAGTTAAAATCTTTCTTTTTTATTTAGACAAAAGGGGGGAAATGTCACAGAATATTTGTTGATTTCATACTATGTAAAAATGTGTCACTTTGACTGATTTAATAAAAAGCTAAACAGAAAAAAAAGACCATGAATTTGACAGAGGGTATGGAAAGGTAGATCTGATGTTTTGGAGGGATGAAAATGAAGGAGGAAATTATGTCATTATGATATAATCTCAAAAATCAAAAGAAAAGTAAGATAAAATAAAACAAAGCAAATTGGTTGCCTACCAGGAAAAAAAAAAAAAAAAGAAAAAAAAAAAGGATTCCATGGTTGGTCTGACTGGATAAATACTGCAAACTACAGCTCCCACTATGATATCCATAGCCTACAAAGGTATCAAAAGTTCTAAGAATTTTGCATTTAAGTAGCATGTTTAACCCACATTTCCACAGTACATTTAGTCTATGTAATCGGTGTAAAACAAATACCTATTGATATTCAACAAAACACTGGTTTTATGAAAGCCAGTTTGGAGAACATTCTTTTATCATTTTCATCAACCTTGTACTAAGTATGTAGAATAGAGAACATCTAGCATCGAACCTGAATGAAAAATAGAAATAATGTCCCTCATCTTTTGTAGAATCATATGGAGAAACAAATGAGGTACAAAAGAATATAATTTTAAAATCCTGTTACACAATCTCACAAGATCATTTGAGTTGAGACAAAAAGGCCACATGTTCTTTTGATGATATATGAGTTAATCTAAAAACAAGGAAAAAACCCTCAAAGCAGAAATTGTACTGAAGCTTTTTAGAAATATTCTCTCCTATGAACAAAATGCCCTTTCTACAGAGACCAACAAATATTTACCTTCTGTTTCAGCAACTCAAATCATCTTAAAACACAGATCAGGTAAGTACGAAAGACATCACGTCTAACAGCAAAAAAAGCTGTAGATTGCTTAACATGGCTCTATCGACACAGAAAGGAAAACATTTGACATACATAGGTGGATTCCTGCTTAACACCATTACAGTATGGGAACACTACTTTTCTTTCACATTTATTTTCTCAAAGTAATAGCAAAGCTGGATTGTAGACTCAGAATTAGGTAAGACTTCACCTTGTTTCTCAGACCCAAAGTTAAAATCCTCACCCCAGGATAAAATCCCTAGCCTTCTGCTCTCCCTAAGCACTTCAAAGTAGCTGTTCATATGTTCAGTTGCTTCCACAGGGGGTCAGAGATAAAGCTGCTCCATAGTCAGAGCAGAGGAAGCAGAGTGGTGAGAGGAGCTATTTGCAGTAGTCTCTCACCTTAAAGAACACTTTTAATAACTGCCCTTAATGGGAAGCAGCTGCTTCAAAATAATCAAAGCACGAAGAGAAGGGCTTTTTAGAAGCGTATCAAGTTTGCCTCCATGTACTTTGGGATTGAAAGATTCTACAGAGGACATTATCTGAACCAGCATGAGGAAGAGTGAACTTAGAAATACAGGAACATCAATAAGAATTCTTCAGTTTTTAGTCATCAGTACCCACATTGAAAATGTTAGGTATTAAACTGTGTCTCCCCCCCCCCCCCCCCACACCACGCTTTTCTACAGATGGCCAAATTCTGATTCTCTTCAACTGTTCTGATTGCTCGATACCATGATATCAGAAATGAGAGGTAGTGGGTACAGGAACATTCCTGTGTTGTATTTACAGACAGTAAATATGACTGAAATTTTTTGTGTGGGTATGTACATCTGGATAACAAGTCTTCTCTTGTGTCATTAGCCCTAGATATATTTAATAAAATAGAGATCCTGAATTTCAGAGTTCAGAACTAGGATATGGAGTGTAGAGATGATAACTTTCTAAGTCTGCTGTCCTGTTGTTCATATCACTTGGACTTGAACTCTTCTTTAGAATGTTCAAATGCTGACCATGACACTGAAAAATCTCAGACATTCTGAATGTCATGTTCAACTTGTACTTTTGTCCCTGGCTATCAAAGAGTTCACAAAGCCTTTGTAATAGGAGTCACGGAGGCTGGCTGCTGAGACCAAGGCATGATTAGAAGGCTGAACTTCCATTCAGTAGCTCTCCTCCCCAGCCACCTTCAGAGAGTGAAAGGAGAAAGGCTACCGCTAGGGACTAAACTAATTACCAGGTGATTTAAACAATTCTGCCTACATAATGGAACCTCCATGAACCCTGGAAGTTTGGCGAGCTTCCCAGGATGGTGAAAGCTTCCATGGGGCAAGAGGGCACAGCATTTCCTCTCAACTGTGGTGGCTAGACCATTGACATTTAATATGATGGTCAATAGGGTTGGGTTTAAATTTATCATCTTTCAACTTATTTATTTGTCCTGTTTATTCTTTGCTCCCTGTTTCACAATTCTGCATTTTTTTTTTTTTTTTTTTTTTTTTTATCTCTGTGTAGCCTCGGAGCCTGTCCTGGAACTTGCTCTGTAGACCAGACTGGCCTCGAACTCACAGAGATCCGCCTGCCTCTGCCTCCCTAGTGCTGGGATTAAAGGCGTGTACCATCACTGCCCAGCCAATTCTGCATTTTTTATACATGCTAGGCAAGTACTCTACCACCAAGCCCCGTAACTCTTATCTTCTCAATTTCTTTCTTTCTTAAGACTTATTTTATGCACATGTGTGTTTTGCCTGCATGTTACATATGTGCACCAAGTGTATGTCTGGTGCCCATGGAAGCCAGAAGAGAGCTCTGATTCTCCTGGAACTGGAGTTATAGACAGTTCTGAGTCACCATGTGGATGCTGGGAATGAACCCTGGTCCTCTGGAAGAGCAGCAGTGCTCTTAACCACTGAGCCATCTTGCCAGCCCCCTGTATTTTTTCTTGACTCATTAGCAACAACTTGTTTTCTTACATTTTTGATTTTGCTAAGATTTATACAACAGTTATAATGCTTGATTTTCTAATGATACTACTCTACTCTGTGTATAACATAAAAACTTACACATTTCCTTTTCTCCTTACTGCTCGAATGATGTCTTCTAACTCTTCCTACAGTACTCACCTTCAGACATGCCTGAAAAAGTCATTGTCACTATAGTTCTTTTGTTAGTTTGTGTGTGTGTGTGTTTCTCTGTGTAACAGTGCTGGATATCCGGGAACTTGCTCTGTAAACCAGGCTGGCCAGGAACTCACAGAGATCCCCCTGCCTCTGCCTCCTGAGTGCTGGGATTAAAGGTATGTGCCAACGCTACCTGGGATCACTGTAGTTCTTGAAAGATATTCACTGGGCACTCAATTCTAGGTTAACTGCTCTTGCTTCAGTACTTCAGACCCCTTCTCCCTTCTCTTTCTATAGCCTCCCTCTCTCTTTTTAAAGACATCACTTAGGGTCTTCAAGGTTATTCACATGGATGACACATGAAGTCAGATAGTTGTGTGATATTTTTTTTAAATGCTTTATTTGGATTGTGTTTTGTTGTTTTGCGCATGTGCCGAAGGTGCCTATGGTGGAGGCTTGAGTACATTTTTGTGGAGTCCTTTATCTCCTTTCACCTTTCCTTGAGTTTCAGGGATTGAACTCACAAGACACCAGGACTGGGCAGCAAACACCTTTCCCAGCTGAGCCATTTCAGTCCAAATCCACCAATCTCTTCAAGGTCTAATCTAATGTTAATCCTATTGACTGCATTTCTCTCATATTTTTCATGTTTATAAGTTCAATTGTAAGTCATTTAAAAGTCTTCAAGGTATTTATTAAACATGTACAATCTTTCCCCTAGCTTTTTGAATGTATAAAACAGAATGTTAATAATTGCCTCAATGTTTTTGTCTGTGTCTTTTTGGATGACTGAGTTTTCATTTCTTTATGAATTCAAAGTCTTGTCTGTAAACTTGTTGACTGGATATTGGGCATTCTGACTTTTACTTCTGAACCCTGGATATTTCTATAAACATTTTTGAGCTTTTTCTCCTGTGCTATTAGGTCACTTGGAGACCTTTGATGGGTTAATCACTTCCTGCGCTGCTGCTGATCTCTGTCAGTGCTCTCTACCCGGTGCTCCTGAGGTCCAGCTTGGCTGCAGAGTTCAGGTGCCATGTGACCCAACTGAGCACCAGCACTAGACTTCCTCTCCTTTAGGGATGGTGGTCTCTGCTTAACCTATAGTGGTTTCCTTCTGTACCTGTCTGAGTCCCTCCAAATCCAGTTTTTAAAGTAGCAATGACACTTGTGTAAAAGGTAGTAAATAATAAGCAGCAGACTAGTAGTTGCTGTGAAGGATACACACATAGAAAAGTACAAATGACTGACCTCAAGGAAGCACACAACCTGTTTAAAAAACAAATGCTGACCAGGGCAGGGCGGCACACATCTGAAAATAGCACTGGAGAGGCAGAGGCAGGGAGATTAGGTAGGAGCTCAAGACTACTCTTGGCTACATAGTGATTCTGAAGTCAGCCTTGGCTACATAAGATCTTGCCTCAAAAATCAAATGAAAAAAATTGTCATGTTAGCCTTTTCAACACATCCTCAGCACAGATGGGCAATGCTCACTTGTGCTGCACCCAGATGCATGGGACTACTAGTTTTCACTGTGGCCCACACATGTGTGATTCCTCTCAGTCTTCTCCCTCCAAGAAAGTCTGTTTCAAGAACATCTTACCTTTCGGACGTGACAGGAAAAGAGGATGTTCATATATTTGTCTTTGCGTTTCAGTTCATTAGCAACTGGCACGAAAGTGCCTGAGGTCTGGGGTGTATCTGGCTTCTGAAAGAACAAAGGAACAACAGGAGAATTCTTAGACTATAGGTGTTAAGGCAACCGTTCAGTATATTGCGTTAGAACTATACCTATACAGTTTCCCAGCATTCCTTTTACCTTCTCCCCTAGATGTTAGACTAGTAAAGGGTGTTACCATATCAAATGAAGGTCCCATTAAAGACTTTAAATTAGGTGATGAGAGAAGCTTTGGGAATAATATAAAGGGTGTAATTGAAAATAGCTGCTGAAGCCGGGTGGTGTGGCACACAATCAGGAGGCAGAGGCAGGAGGATCTCTATGAGTCTGAGGCCAGTATGGTCTACAGGACAGCCAGAGCTATGTAGAGAGACCTTGTCTTAAAAAAATGGCTGCTGAATAATTCAAGGGAAGGTTGAAGTGGTAAAGGACCAGGTTATGGAATACTCTAATATATGTGGATATAACCCTCTTCTAAGTAGAAGATGCATCAGGTATTGTATATTTAAAAGCAACAAAATCTTCTAATTTAGCACCTCTTAGAGAAATTACTTAGTTTCTTAAAACATCTCTCTGTAAGGTATTGATTTTGTCTTATAGTGCTGGGGCTGGAACCCAGGCCTCGAGCATCCAGCCTCTTTTCTGTAAATTCTTATGGAAACAAACTTTGCACAGCTGCATGAATTCACACTGCTCTCCTGGACTTACCGAGGCAAGATAGTTGCCTTCCCAAGCTCTCTGGAGCCCAAGGTCTGCCCTTTGACCTTTCAACATTTCCATGGCTGCAACCTTTGCTCTGACCTGGGGAAGGTCTGAAGCAGGTATGGTCTTGATGAGTTGGGATGCTCTCCATCTACAAGCAAATAAACAAGATGTATAGGCCTTAGATACTCATTCACTCCCGGAAGGATTTCAAGCTGTCATTAAGTAGCGAGAAATAATTATATGCTATGCTAAAGAGGTAAAATGATTACGAAATATATACAGAAGTTGGTAAAACAGTTTTCTGTAGATAGAAATTTTGTAGCAACTTCTTTATTGTCTGTGTGCTCTGAAGTGACTAGAACTCAGTGGCTTCCAGCTTTTACAATATTAGCTGGGCACAAAGCAATCAGACATCCTTAATACCTTGAAGTCCAAACCTTCCTGACTACCTCTCAACCAACAAGATCTGTGTAAAATTGAAGGTCTGAACAGTCTGAAATCACACTACTGGTTCCAAGCATTTTCAATAGGGGACACTCGACTTGTGTTAATTGGTAGGTCACAGAAACGTGGATTCATCATTCATCCAACCATGTTCTAGGCACCATGAAAGTAGGGGAAGCACTGCTAAAAGCAAAACAGTCCAAAGAACTTTCTTCCAGGTGCTTTTAGGAGTAACAGACAATAAAAAAAAAATACATGCAGATGTGTGATAGGGATTGGATACCTGCTGTGGAGAGAAACAACAAGGAAAGAGGGCAAAGTGGGCCTTGAAAGGAAGACAGGGGTATGGTGGTGTTTTACATTAGTGGCTAAGGAGGGACTTTTGGCAAGGATAGATGGATAGAGGAATACAGGAAGATTCTAGACATATGGACAGTTGAGCAAGAGCATATCCAGAAGGGACCACAGTAGTGCAAGGGCTCTGAGACAAGAACTGCTCAGTGAGTTGTTGGGGGAAACCTGGGATCCTAAGAAGCTGAAGCAGCATGGGTAGGGAAAGGAAGAGAACAGGTCAGAGGGAGAGCTAGGGCTGAATGAATCCACAGAGCCATAAGGGCGTTATCAGGACTCTGGTCTCTACTCTTCATGAGGTGAGACACCTCTGGAGCATTCTGCATAGAGATTGGATGACCTGATTCATGCTTTAACGGGATCATTGTCGTTGCTGTAGGTTAGGGTCAGGAAGATCTCTTAGGAGGCTGCTTTGATAAAGCACACACCAGAGGGATGTGACTCAGGTCAGGGAGGTGGTGATGGAGGCAAAGATAAGGGCTGATCTAGATGCATTCTAGAGGAAGGCCAATGGATTGTGGATGGATTAGATTGTTGGGAAAGAGGAGGTTTAAGGATGACTCCAAGTGTTTTAATTTGTTTTTGACATCCGCATCTGCAAACATAAGCCAAGAATATTCCTGGTTGAGAAGAACAACGGAAGGAATTCTATGCTCTCAGCAGCAACTTTGTCTCAGATGCACATGTGTTCTCAGTTCCTGCCACGGTAGTGCACATCAAGGATGCTAAAATCACAGTGAATTGTCTTTAATTGAATGAACAGTGAAGGTCAATGATTCCTAAACTATGTTCACATGGAACACTAGAGTAAGAAATTACTAAAATAAAAAAAAAATACACTGGGGTACTAGAGAGATGGCTCTGCAGTTAAGAGCACTGGCTGTTCTTCCAGAGGACCAGGGTTCAGTTCCCAGCACCCACATGGAAGCTTACAACTGTCTATAACTTCATTTCCAGGTGATCTGATACCTTCACACCAATGCACATAAAATAAAGTTAAAATAAATTATTAAAATATATAAAAATAAAAGAACTAAAAAATTAAACTGAAGTGACTGAGTAGTGAAAGAATAAGAGAAAGCTTATACAGCTATGTGAACAGGGGATGTCATGTCAATACACTGGCTGTGAACACTTTGTGGCAGACACAAAGCAGGTGTAGCTAAGTGTGGACCACTGTGCTCAATACAGGGAGATGAACTATCAAGAATAGGTTTTATGGCAAGACCCAGAAGACCTTGAGACCTGAGTGGCAGGGCTGAGAGCAAAAGCAGGAGATAATGGCTGTAGTGAGGTTATAGCTGGTGGGGGTCAGCCGTGGTAGATTACAAAATGCTAAGAAAGCAAAGGCTCAGCCCTACAGTGTCATGCCCCTCCTCCCCCAGTGCTCTTATGAGATAGACTGATCTGAGGTCTTTGCCAAGATGCTAGAAGCGTAACAATGGTCAAAGTTAAGGACAATGGTGGCAGGCAGGCCCTACAGCCCTGGAGTTACAGATGACACTGCTGGTGGGGGGAAACTTTAATCTGACTGCAGCTCTCTTTCCTACCCTTGTCTCCACTTTAGTTTCTACAGTGGCCCAAGACAAGGCTCACACCTGACTAGAGACCCTCAGCACAGAAGCACATTTGGGCTTCAGGCATCTGACCTGTTCAGCCATTGTGAGAGCTACATGACTTTTTACTCTAGTCATACAAGCCATAATACATAGCTTCAGGTAGTAGCCATAGAGACCAGCTGCCTCAATGACAGAAAAAGGACAAAACTGGGCACAAAGCAGGTTCAGCCACACATACAAACACAAAATTACTGTGAGGAAAGGAATGATCCTAACAGAATAAAAAGAATGAGGGATGATGGCACATGCCTATAACAATAAGCAGCAGGGCTCGGGCGGCTTTGGCGGAAAGACTTATTGTTACACATGCCCACAATTTATTACTTAGGGGGATCAGCAAATCAAGATCATCCTTGCCTACATAATGGAGTTAAAGGCTATTTCAGGTTATATGAGATCCTGTTTCAAAACAACAAAACAAAGCAGAGAAAACAAAGTAACACAATGAACACACATGGAGATTCCAGAAAGACAAAACCAAGCCCAACAATAACACTGGAATCCCTTAACACACATATCATAGGATCCCATAGAACAAAACATTCAAGATCAGGGGTTCATAAACTACAGCTTGTTTCAAATCTGGCTCGAGGTCTGTTTTTATACTGCTTGTGAACTAAGAAGAATCTTTACATTTTTACATGTTTAACAAAACAAAGAATATGTGAGAGACCATATGTAGCCTGCATAGCCTAAAATACTACAGGCCCTTTACAGAAAAAGTTTGCCTGACTAGATGAATACAAATGGCAAGATTCATTCAGAGATGGGGAGAGCGGGAGAGAGGGGAAGAACAAACAGTATTTTCATGTATTCATCAACTATGACCCTTGTGAGGAGGCTGGGACTATCGGTCCCATTCTTCCCAATTGTCACTGTATCTCTGGAAGCCTGGTTAGTGCCTGCAAAACACCAGGTGTTCAGTAAATATTTGCTGGATGAGCAAATTCAATTTTATACAAATTAATCGGTTCTAGACTTAAAATAAAACACCAAAATCTAAAAAGAGGCCTGCTCAGGCCAGAGTACAATATGAAATTAATCACTATCATTTTCAGTCATCACAAATATTAAATAAGGGGTAAAAATTGGTGCAGCTACTATGGAAATCAGTGTGGAAGTTTTCCAAAATAGAACTACCAGATGAACTAGCTGTATCACTCCTGGGCATACACCCAAAGGACTCCACATCTAACTACAGAGATACTTGCATATCCATGTTCAGTGCTTACAACAGCCAGGGAATGGAATCTACCTAGATGTTCAACAACTCATGGATACTGAAGATCATTCTCTCTCTCTCTCTCTCTCTCTCTCTCTCTCTCTCTCTCTCTCTCTCTCATACCAGAATTTTATTCAACTATAAAAAAGTGAAATTATGAAATCTGCAAATCTGCAGGATGGGACTGGAAAATACTACACGTAGTGAGAGAACAAAGACCTAGCCACACCTCCAGCCTTCTTTTTACCTTTTAAGGCAGGGTCTAAGTTGCCCAAGAAGTTGACATCCTCCTACTCCAACCTCCTAAGCAATTACTGCTGTGGGCTTATCATCAACGGGTTTGCATCTAACGTTTTCTTTTTTTTTTGAGACAGGGTTTCTCTGTGTAGCTTTGGAGCCTATCTTGGCACTCACTCTGGAGACCAGGCTGGCCTTGAACTCACAGAGATCAGCCTGCCTCTGCCTCCCCAGTGCTGGGATAAAAGGCGTGCGCCACCAACACCTGGCCATCTTATGGTTCTTATAAAGTGTAAACGAGATACATATTCATGAGTTTCCTGTCATGTGACTTGTCTATCTTTGGATATAGTATATTAATAGAGTTGACTGTAATGAAGACAAGAGTCTGATTCAGCATACAATTAAAACTAGTTCTTAGCTGGGCGGTAGTGCACGCCTTTAATCCCAGCACTCGGGAGGCAGAGTTTGAGACCAGCCTGGTTTACAAGACCTAGTTCCAGGACAGCCTCCAAAGCCACAGAGAAACTGTGTCTTGAAAAAACCAAAAAACCAAAAAACAACAAAAAAATCCCAAACAACAAACAAACAAAAACTAGTTCTTCTATATTCAGTATATCAAGTAGTGCTTTTTTAAAAGAAATATCAAATAACTACACTTGGGATGTTAGTTTGGTTAATGTCATCAGATGATTATAGTTAAGACAGCACTAGATAACATCATCAGTACTTCATATCTATGGGAGCTGCATTCTTGAGTTCAACTGGCCTCAGATGGTATAGTTAGGTCAAGAATGGCTGTAACTCTGTTGAATACATGTAGAGATTTTCTTTCTGATTATTCCCTAAACAATACAGAAATAACAACCATATATTTATGTTGTATTATGTGTTAGAAGTAATCTTGGTATGGTTTACTGGATACAGGTTCTACTAAAGTACTACCACATGGATAGGCGTGGTAGCACATGTCTTAAATCCCATCACTTGGCAGGCAGAAGCAGGTGAATCTTTGTGAGTTTGAAGCCAGTCTGGTCTATATAGGAAGTTCTAGGACAGCCAGAATTATATAATCGAGAGAGCCTGTCTCAAAAAAAGAAAAAAGAAAAAGGAAGAAAGAAAGTACTACAGCATTCTATGTTAGGAGCTTGAGAACCTAGTATCTATAGGGGGCCTGGATCCAATTCTCTGAAGACAATGCAGGGCAACTGTCTCTGCTGCATAAATGATGTCAACAAATAAGCTAAAAAAATGAGGAAGAAGGACTCAGGCAAAGACAATCTTAGATTCAGGGCAGGTTGTACAAAGATCAGTTGGGAAGGTCCAAATTTTTCCATGGGTACTTATTTTAAAAAAAGTGTGGCCTAAAATAGTTTTCTCTTTTGGCTTTACTTTAAAACCACAGGGGCCTTGTTAAAGGCCTGGGCCCCATGCTCAGCCCCATTAAACAGAGTCTCTGGAGGGCCTAGGGCATCAGGGCTTCAGGAACTCCTCCTGAGTCTAAGGCATAGTTAAATTAAGCTGCTGCTGTTAGGATCAATGTGACTTGCTAGTTTAAAGTATGTGTGTTGATCTTAAGGAAGTATTTGTGTTTTTTTGCTAACGACAGGAAGTGGGGGACAGCATGAAGGTAATTTATCTTAAATATGGCTTAGAGCCAGGAGTTGTGGCATGCTGCTGTCCAGTGCTACAGGAAAAATACATTGATAGTTCCATTACTTTGAGAGGTAAGCAGATGCCCTTTGAAAACAAAATCAATCAAACATAAGACAGAGGGAGAGGTAAATGTCATAACAGTAAAGAGCTGAGCCAATACCATGGCCTAGGATTTGGAAGTATGCCACTGTACAAGAATGTGGCACTTGCCAAGTTATTACCTATTAAAAATTGACTGCAGAGCCTCCTCGAAACGGCGCAGGACTTTTGGTGGGGTTGGCCACTTCACATGCTTCCCGTAGTCTCTCATGTTCTTGACACCGTGGAAACGTCTGGCTACCTCGTGGATGTACGATTTCACTTTATAGCGCCTATAGTACCTAATTATTGTCAGAGCTGCCTTGGTCCTCTTGTACCGCATTCGGGCCAGGGTGCCACGCCACACCTTCAAGACAGAAAAAGAAAACCAACAATGTTGCTGGCTGACTGAGTAGTAGGTGACTTTGGTGTTACATTTAGTGCGTCTGCTTAACCAGCTCTTCTGGCAACCTGCTTGGTCAAAGAATCAACAGAGTCTGTTGGTTCCACCTGCTGTCAATGGCACTGGGAACTGTGGTCACCGCCTGCCCCCCATAGGACCTAGCCACTCATAATTCTACAGAGAAGTGTGTATGATATTTAAAGCAGTTTAAACTTTATTGTCATGAAATGAAGAAAACCAAAATACAAGTATCTGTAGATAGATAAATATTTTAGGAAGCTGAAGTCAAGTAAGATGAGTCACACCAAATGCCACAAGCTTCTACCAACCTTCAGGAAATGGAGCTTCACACAGATCACACACACCGGTGGTAAGTGGAATGCCACTTTGGGTTTGCAACCGGATTTACACAAAGCCTATGCTCCCACTCTCTCTAGGCGTGAGATAAAGTCCTGAGAATTTAATATATTTTAGGGCGAAAGGGCCAAAACGATCGTCAATATCATATGAAGTTTTCTTGCGTATTTCAGCAACTCAGAAATTATTCAGATGTTATATAAATACCAAATTTGTTCAGGCATCAAATCAGAGATACTTATTTTTTTTCCCCAAGATCCTGTATCCAGGTACTCATATTTTTCAATCTCTTGAGCAAAGCTGAATTTGATGTAATCTTTGATTGATCAATGGCCTTTCCCCTATACATTCTCTGAACCACCAAATTTGCTTTCTTCCCTGTGGTTTCCCTCTTCTGTTCTTTTCTGCTACAGAGTCTTTGTGACCTCAAATGACTAACCACTTTTTCTACTAAATGCGACCCCAGATCTTCCTTGCTATTCACTGCTGTGCCTTAACCACCCAGTCCGTTCCTTAGGCTGTTTGTATTATTTCTCTCCTGGTCCCTGACCTGAATTCAAAGCCTACAGTTCTCCCAGGTTTTCTGTAATTCCTCTTGAATTCCCATCTGTGCTCCCCAAATTCTCCTAAGACTCCTTTGCACTGGCTCCTTTGTTTAATTGTTTTGAGCCTGTCTTCCTGCAGACTCGGTGTTCACCATGTGCTGGGAGTCCTCTTCCTCTGCAGTCTGTGGCACTGTGTTTCTGCACAGATTTGTTTACATACCTCATGGGAGGAGGTTATTAAGGGAGCCCACTGGGTCAAGAAAAAACGCAATACATAAAAGAAACATGGTGTTCGAGCAACGTGTGATAGGAATCTAGAATTCATGTATCAACAGTACCGGAAGACAATGAGGCGATGAAAACCTTCTCGTTCTTTCACGTGGCATTGGAACAGCAGCCCTTTTTAGTCTCAGCGAGTGGCTCCTTTCTGTGGGTGAATGTGCTGTACAGATGGCTGTGCTACGCCCCCACCCAAGTGCTAAAATAAAGGCCCCTTCTTTGGTATCTTGAAAAACCAAAGGAACACAATTAGAGGGTGGAAGTGTGTGATTCAATTTCTTAGACAAAACACATTTTTAAAGTTTCATACTGTTTGTGACTTTGCTTTTCAGAGGGGAGAAATTAAGATTCTCTGGTGGCCATTCTACATACAAAATCAATCTTTTAATTTCCAAGAAGTATTTTATAAACCTTTCTATTAAACAGTTTTGGTTAGATTCTTTAAAAACATTCCAGGAGTGCTTTTTAAGGACAGTCTTTAAGTTCATTTGTGTTGTTGGTTTATCAAGGGTTTGGATCGTTGAAAAAATAGTACAAAAATGTTTAGAATAATAGACACCAGTCCCTTCCCTGACACCTTACTTCTCTCTCCTGTATGCTCATTCTTCACAAACTATTTTAGCTGCTTCTTCTGGGAACCATTGTCATATCTGCAGATAATATACACATACTGTTCTGTTCCAATTGTAAAAATTGGACATTTACCTCTCTCACCACCACTCACACTTTGACATTTCAGTAGCTGTCATATCATTTTCAGTGTTTTTTTTTTTACATATACCATACACTGAATAATTCACACACATATGTACTGCATTATATTATGTATGACATATAAATTGGAGAAGGAAATACGGTTATTCTCACATTTACCTTATAAATTTGCTTTTACTCATCATTTAGAACTACAGGTAAAATTTCTAAAACCTCTGACTTAACTTTTTAGTATACCTTGAGTTAACTTTTACCAAATGCATATCAAGTGATCAGTGACACTTCTCAGATCGGTGGGCTCAGCCACAGAATCTTTTTCTTGGAGTGTTCCCTGTGACCTTATGTTTCTTTGGCTGTTGGGCAGCTCCTGTCTTGAGACTTTACAAACCACTCTTCCACCCTGGCTTACTGATGCTCATCTTTCTCTGTCTTGGCTTCCTTCTCTGCAGCAGTTTCCACATGGCTGGGAGGGTTCTGTTCTCTCTTTGTTATCCTTGGAAGTACAAAGTAGTTGCTTAAATGTCTGCTTCTTGGGATGCAGGGACAGAGTAGCTGAGAGGGTTCTCTGGGCACAGGCTGCCCCTGTCCAAAGCCTGCCGCACTCACAACAACTGAGCAGGCCTGGGTGGGTCTCCCTCACCTCTCTGCACTGCAGACATCTTATCTGTAAGACAGGATGGTAATGATGTTTACCTCAGTGCCAGGACAGTGAATAGAGACATGGAATAGAGCTTGCTAGGCCCAGCTGCTAGGACTGCTTCAAAGTCTATTTTGTCATTGGCAGGCTGCAGGACTTTTTTTTTTTTTTTTTTCTTTCTGTAAATGCAGGCATTTTTTCTTCTGTCACACGTCAATGTTACCTGGAAACTCTTAAATGAATGTAAGTCATTCATTTGTCCACACTCAAATAGTGCTGTTCCATTGGGTATTACTTTATGCTTCCATCTATAAGAAGGTTGCATCCATGGTTTGCATCCTAAACCCAGTTTCTAGTTACCCAGGAGGAACAGGAAGGGAGTCTTGATTTTGGGTCTTCGTTGGTATAGTGTTTTGTTAACTCTCAGGAATAAACACTTCCTTATGTCTGGAGGTATATGGCTTGTGGCTTGATATTCATTTTCCGTATCTTGAGAACATTTCTTGGTTCAGGTGTAACAATAATTGCTAGTAGATGCTTCCCCATTTCTCACCTACTTCTTCTGGACATACCAGAGGCAGGGAAGACAGAAAGTCCTGCCAACTCTTCTTGCCAGGGGAAGGAATCTTTTGGTAGAAAAAGGGCTCTCAGCAGAAGGCTGGGCATTCTAAGCCCTCCGTGGCTCTGTTTTAATAGTGAATGCTGATATTTTCAAAGCAGCCAGGACTTTTCAGAATCCCCCCTGCACCTCTACATGCTCCATTTTCTCTTTGAAGAATATATTGATATTTTTTGGTACCTTTTTTCCAACTGAGTCCAATTTTTCTTTTTTCTGATGATACTTCTGCAAGTTTATAATATGAAGTTGTACCTGTTTGGCTTTAGAGTGGAAGACATATTCTTTAGGACTCCTTAGAGAAAGCGGTTCATGTACTTTTCTTTATAATTACATACGACATTTACTTTGAAAGTGTATTGCTCCTGCTTTGCAAACACAGAAGCTCATTAAGAAGACTGTCCCATGAACTCTCATGTGTCTATGGAGGAGTTGCTGATTTTTCCCTCCAGGGGTTAGCAGGATGAAAATTATGGTGTAGGCCATGTGTGGTGGCACACATCTTTAATCCCAGCACTTTTAGAGGCAGAGGCAGGCTGATCTCTGCTTTTGAGGCTAGCCTATTTTATAGAGCAAGTTCCAGGAGAGCCAGGTCTACAAAGAGAAACCCTGTCTCAAAAAAAAAAAAAAAAAGATTAAGGTATAAAAGCTTTCCATTTTTCAAACTTGTCTTGAAAAACCAAAAAAAATTCATTTTTCATATCTGTTTAAAGCTGCACAAACTTTTTTAATTCTAGAAAAAAATTAGACTTACTCATTTTATGTGTGAGCCTGTATCTGACCTGCAAGTTGTGCACCGCATGTGTGCTTGGTGCCTTTGGAGGTAAGAAGAGGATATCAGATACTCCGGAACTGGAGTGACAGATGGTTGTAAACCAACATTATGGGTGCTGGGAATTTAACCTGGGTTCTCTACAAGAGCAAGAAGTGCTCTTTACTGCTGAGCCACCTCTCCAGCTCTACTGTTGGTTTGTTCAAGTGTTACACGAAGCTTATCTCTGTAGAGGATTTTGCTTGGTGATAAAATATAGAAAGCAGAAGATTAAATGTTATATTCCTTAATCAAGTGCTTATTACTTATTTGCACGTGCCTGGAAGGTTCAATCAACAAAGGAACCCAAAGGAACCCCACTAAATACATTTTTTTTCTTTATTCTTTTGACAGGGTCTCATGTAGCCCAGGCTGATCTCAAATCCCCTTGGTAAAGGCAACCAAGGATGGCCTTTACCTCCCAAGTATTGGGATTACAGACATGGACTACTATATGCCCAGTTAAAAGCATTTTAATGGCCGGGTGGTGGTGGTACACACCTTTAACCCCAGCACTCAGAAGGCAGAGGCAGG